CAACGACCGATAGAGTGTTATATTTTTCTAAAATCAATAAAGTCTAGATTTGAAATCTATCATAACTGTTTTATAGGAAACCTAGATTTACCCTCGTTGTTAAAAGGAATCTAATGATATCCATTTACGAAAATGGTAGTTTCACTGACACAAAATAACGAAAACACCTTTTCACTGTTATTTGTTCGATCTTATTTTTAGTTTTTTAGTATTCTGATTTGAATAAGTAATTTCATGACACAATGTTATAAAAGGAATATAAAACTCAGCATATCTGGTTCTATTCCGATTATATTATTGTACATTAATTTATAGTTATCACTATATTAATATTCTAATATCTCTAGTTTTAACATAAGTATGTTTGCAATAAAAAATTTTACGGCTGTTCTGATCAGAATTTCTAGAATTAGTTGAATATTAAATTGGCTTACCAAGGGATGAAATTAACGTGCCGTTTTGTTCATTTGGCATTTTTTGTTTTTCTTTTGTTTATCCTAATTAAACATGTTACACCTTAAGTAAAAACAGAATTCCATTAATTCAACTTTTTTTTTGAAAAAGAAGCTCAAAAAATCAATTGTGCACCATTAATGATAATGCACCTTATTTAACCAAATTTTTATTGTGAGTCAACTATTTAATGGTCCTTGGTATCATGTGAACATTTTTTCGAAATTTATACGAGGTGTTCAAAAAACTAATCTGAATGTTGAGGATTTTTAGGCAACAACAACTTTTTATTTTAAAGGGAACGCTCTGAATATTCTCTCATACTGGAATGCAGATTTTGATTCTGAATCGTTTGGTATATAGGTACCCTAGACCTATAATTTATCCTTAATAAAATATTACTGATTTTTGTCAATTATAGACAATTTTAATATTTTTTAAATATCTTTAAAAGTCTGCCTTTCATTTAATTGTTATTTCAATTGTTGAATGTTTTTGCGTTATGTACGGTCAGTATTAACTGAGTATTGACTTACTTATTTGTGAATTTATATAATTGTATATAGAATTAAGGTATAAATTGAGGGCGGAAATTATACAAATACTGGAATTTGTTTTACACATATGGAAGATATAAGAAAATTGTTGCTCGATCATATCACCTGTTTAAAAAAAATATCCTAACAAATTAAAAATGACAGAAGGTTAGTTTAGAATGGAATCGAGATTATTGCAATTTGGAATTAGATGAAAGAGAAGAACTATGAGAAACCAGTTACTAACAATGAAGAAGATGAAACAGCAGCGTTGTAAATAGTAATACATCTATTCCAGCAGCTACAAGATTCCTAGGAATTTCGCAAATGTCCATTCAAGTTTGAAATTTATGGGTACAACTGAACCATACGTACAGCTACTCCATGAAATAGTGACGAACTTCGTGGACAACCTCCTATAGGCCTCACGCATGAAGCTGGTGGAAATTTTAAAAAGGCGTGGATTCGCGGTGGCAAACGTAGGCAATTTTAGGTATAACAACTACAGCCTTCTTTCTTCAGTATGTCTATCAGGGGCGCAGATTGAATATTTAAAAGCAGAAATAGGCGCAATAATTTAGTTTAACCTGATTTATTTAATGTTATGTTATATAATGAGCAAGTAATAGGCATACAATCCAATACAATACAATACAATAAAATTTATCAAATTCGAGATTATCGTACCATCACGCTAAATTAAATGAGTGCGCTGTAGTCTACAAAAAGATAGAAACGTTATAGTGTCAGTCGAAATTTGTAAGCAACTAATTGTTTATATTTTAATATCCTATTTAAATTTATTTGGTACATAAGCAGTCTAAGAAAATAATTATGATTTCTTATTACTAAACACTGCTGATATAAATTAATGTTATATTTGTATCTTTTTAATTTGCATCGTATTTTTAAAAAAATCTGCCTTTCAAATAGCATGTCAATGAAAAGAATTGATGTTTTAGTTATAAAACCTTTGTAAAAATGGCATGCATCTTTCGTTAGCACAATAATGAAGAAACTAGCTGTGATTTTGAATTATCAAATTAAAATGAAAATTTCCCACTCTTATGCCAACGAAAGGTGTTTATTAATTTTTTCTCAACGGTTCTTTAACTAAAACTTCTTACGTTGCTGTAGGTATTTAGGTACTTAAAGAAAACCAAAAGATAACATAGTACATAAAAGTACAAAATAACTGCAAATTTTAGGATGTTACCTATTAATTTTATAAATGCTTCAACTTTTTAATAACTAAATTCGACAGATCAGATAAATTCAAGTATAAATAACTTATTTATCCTTTAATTTAACGTTGTTTATCGTGTATTCTACATCAAGGCCATTAATAATTCGGCAACGGGAAATTTAAACCACAGAAGCTGTTTATTAACAGACAAAATAAACTTTAAATGTGAACAATTTTTTTTTAAATAACAATAAGATACTTCTTAAATTTATACTGTAATTACCTAGTTTCGTTTAATGTTTAAAAAGTTCAATTTCAATTTCCATTTGGTCGAATTTTATTATTATACCACATGNAGTTGGGTGTGGCAAAGAATATTCCATTATTCGAGGCAGACATCGCAGTTTAAATAAACTACGTAAGATAGATTTACTAAGGCAAATGTTTGTAAGTTTAAGGATACTTATTCCAAAATTTTAATACCTATCACCAATGAATTAAAAACGTAGAATAAAGCATAATTTTTAACATGTATAATTAAATTTTTGTATTCAAAATAAAAGCCGACTTTAAAACTTTGTCTTATGTACAAATTGAAACTAAAAAGTTAAAAATACATCTGTGGAGGTGGAACTTTTTGTCAAATTTAAATAAGACCACCCTTGAGATATAGCCTATTCAATAATAAAAAAGAATAATTAAGATCTGATCATGATCGGCGAAGAGTTCACCTAACATGCACATAAGAAAAAATATAGTCGAATTAAGAACCTCTTTTTTTTTTGAAGTCAGCTGAAAACTGATCTACTCTTTCTATTTATTAAACTTACAAACATTGGGGTAATGCCACAGACAAAAGTTTTGTAAATTAAGAAATGGGAGAGTAATTAATATTTCTATTAAACAAAAAATACGAAATTAATTGTGCATCTAATTTTTTATTGATGCTTGCAACGCGAGTTTATTTTTCCAAATAATCTGGTAACTTTAAAAATAAAACTAAATTAAATTTAAAGCTGATAATGTTAACTAAAACGGCACATACAATCACATTTACTGACAGTTAATTCAGTTCTGATTTTGATTTTTCAATATGAAACAAATAAGTTTACGAATAATTTTCCACAAAATATATTAATAATTTGAAGAAATGGAAAGAAATCGTAAATAAACATTTTACAGAAAATACCTGTATGGCCAAAGTGTTTGCTCACATTAACATTAAAAATGAAACTAGCGCCTTTATTTTAAACTGATTTCAAAATGCATTTATTAGCATCACTTGCAATTATGCATACAAAAAATTTAGAAAATCAATTTTCACCCACATGCACTATTTATAATTGCCAATTTTTTTTTGATACGCTAAAAAAGCATGCGTAACAATAAACATATTGAAAAATTAATAATAAATTCAGACAAATCAGTCTAATTGTAAATAAAGAACGGCTAAGTTTATTTTTAAATAATAGAGATCTCAGAATTTTAAAGTTTTATAAAAACTGGAATGCAAGTGTTAAATCGGTTGTGAGCAATATATACCTAAAATGCATCTATTTTCCGACCATACAGTCCTTCTCTCCCACTTGAAATTCGCGTAAATGAGAATAAAGTAAAATTCGAGATAAAAACTAAGTAACTTAGCTTAGTAGGCACGTGGTACCGGATTTCGAAGTACAAGGGCACTTTCAGCAGATATTATTGGAAGAGAGTTCTCACAGTGGTAGTTAATAAGATGACTGACACTTTGAAACATCCTGTCTTTCGTTCTAACCTGTAAATAAAATTAAAATTAGTAATGTACACTGCTATAAATGTTATTAAATGATTAAAAATTTGGGAGAAAACGTTTAAATTTTCAAGAGAAAACCCTGCATGTTACCTAACTATATAAAAGATTAAAACCCAATTGCATAGAAGAGCCACAGTCTAATTAAGATGAACTGGGTGTCAAAATGTGTTTTAAATTTAAATAAATTAAATAAATGTTTTATTTAACTTAGTTCCACATAAATCCACTCAATTTTTTTTTGTATTATCTAACTGTGAGTAACACAAATATATACTCTTTTATAAATATAAAAAACGATCAAAAAGAAATTATTAGGTTAAAGAAACTAACCACTCCTTCCGGGTCAATCAGTAGAAGGTGCTTTTTGGCATTTTCTTGCATCCCAGAAAGAACATACTGTCCCTCGGAGTTGGGAGATTCCCTAACCAAAAAATCGCCGTCTCTCTGTAGAAGTCTTTCAGCTTCTGCCCTGCTTATTTGGCCGTGAAACCAAATTTCCTTCTTCAATTCTGCAACCTTTTCTTCATCTATTTTCTTTGAAGTTAATTTTGCTTGTGTGAAAGGTTCTGTAAAAAAGCATTAAGTCACTAATTTTATTTGAACTTTGAACTCTTAATCTGTAACAAAATTAAATAATCAATTGGTATGTATAAAATATAAGACAATTTGTATTACTTTTTGCTAAAATTTTCATGTTTTTCAATGTTGTAGCTATTTAGGAGTATATGAATTATTAGAAGTCTACTTACGCATATCAAATATATCTCTATCCCTGGAAAAGACCATACATTCGTTGACATACTCATGTTGCCTTGTATCTATTGCCATTAGTGGTTCGGCACTTAAATCAATTAAGTTAGGACTTTGTACAGGTGGCAAAGTGGTGAAAGGAGGCACAACAGCTGGTAATGGAGGTACTGGTGGTGGACCCACATCAGGAGGAACCTTGCCAGGAAGATCATTGTAATAATCTTTATCTGCATCTCCTCCAGTAGAAGTTCCAGGTTGGCCCATGGCTAGTCTGCAAAAGAACACAAATTACAACTATGGATAACAAGTGTCAATTGTTACTTTGAAGGTAAAAAGTAGTTTCTGTTAATATCATTTTTACATACGCAATTTGAGCAGGTTTCATGTATTGTTTGTATCTTAATTCAAACGCTTGTCCTATAGTGGAGATGACATCCTTTGTAAGCTCACCTCCACATTCCAAGACATAACAAGCACGCCAATCATTCATGTCTTTAGCTATGTAGGCTACAAAGTCCAATGTGTCCTGTTAAGAAATTGCATTGACTACTACTATAAATTAAGGGAAGTTGACTGTCTCATACCGTATCACCACCTGAGGCAAATGAAATACGTGGCATATCATGACTAGCTATAACTTGGCCAGTTTCCAATGATGTTAGTATTAAACTTGAACTTGATATGGTAAGATCAACATTGGTCCCAGCATAATCCATTTTTGGAGTATCTGCTATGCACTGCAACACTTTTTTATCAACCTTTTTTTTCTTATCAGCAGTCTTTAAACCAGCAGCCTCACAAACTTTACTAATACACAATCTATAAAACATTTTGAATAATTTTAGGTCCAACTTTTAACATTTTAATAATCTTACTTTGCTACATTTGATCTATTCTTAAATTCTAACTGTTTCATTGAAACCTTCACTTCTAAGCAACCAATGTACTAAAAAGGAAATATATATTTATAAATCACACAAGTGATTAAAAACATAGTGTTGCTACAATTGCATAATAAATTTATATTTGGAGTAAATTTAATTCAATGAATACAAGGGACTGTAGACCACTAATGGGAAGGGTCAAAAGGGTCAAACAAAAATAATTTAAAATTAATTTATATTTTACTTACTCTAATAACATATGTGGCTCCTTGTTTAGATATCACTTTATCAGAGTGAATCCAGCCTCCTGAAGGCTTAGTAATAAAGGTAGACATGTTCTGCGAAATGTCTGATTAATATCACAGGATTTAGCATTGGGCGTTAACTTTTTTCGTATCCATATTCGTCTAATTTTGGCTTTTACGCCTAAATGCAGTCTTTTTTTGCTAACAATAAGTATTTGTTCTTTATAATTTTGCAACTTTTAAACTAACTAACGAGGCATAAATTTATTTTTACTAGGAAATATTTGGTAAAAACGAACCTTTGGCAGAAATCAGCCTTCCATCTTGAAGATCCGCCTAGAACGTAACCATATCCGATTTCCAATACCCATGTAACAGCCTATTATTATCCTTACAAAAATTTTAGTAAATCATTGCACATAATTTTAAAATAAACTTCTAGAAAAGTTTTACATTTTGTCTGAAAAGAACTTGTAATACTAAATTAAATAAAACACGGGTAGTACCATCAACGAACTACCTACAACTGCAAAATAAGACAAATAAAACGGCATAAAAACTTAATAGAATTAGTAGACGGAAACGAACAAAATTGAATGTAGGTTGGGACATCTGTACGTTTACGATGAAACCTATTCAAATTTGAAAATTCAAATCTATAAAATCATTTGACAACTATTTCTAGACTTTTTAATTATAAGTTGTGTAGCATAATTACTTTTCGATTCTACTGAAATAAGATTTGGCAATTTTATAGATTAAGTTACAGTAAGTGCAAATCTAATATTTCTAATCATTTAGCGCAATCTGACAATAATGAATCAATGTTTAATGGCAAATTGTCACAAAACTAATGGGCTCTACAAAATCGAAGTTCTATATTCAGCTATTTCCTGATAGATGGCAAAATTGAAACCTTAAATAAGTATAAGGTCTCTTTTGAATTGTAAATGTGATGGTAATCTATGGTGGTGGTATAGGCATAGATATAGGTATACATATATTAATGGACGTGCCTTAGCCGTATGTCGTTGTAATAATTTCTTGGCTGGAAGAGTGAGGGAGATGGCGTATGGTTTCGGACTAGTGCTATCTCTTTCATGACACGCCCACGCACTACTGTGAGAGAGATGGATATTGTCCGAAACTTCATTCCATCTCTTTCTTTTGTTGTACCACAATTATGACCGCTAAGGCATGTCCATAAGTAAACGTCGATGGTTAGTCGTGTGCGTAGATGGCCGTGTGATACATACCATCGACGTTTACTAATGGACATGCCTTAGTGGTCTGAAGTGTGATACAATAAAANCCACTCTTTCCTATCCTGAGCTAATCTTCGCATTTCCCCAAAACTAGAACAACCCACATCCTTAACTATTTGTGAACAGTAATCTAATCTAGGCCTACCTCTACCCCTCCTAACTCCCGTTTCTGTGTCTAATATGTCTCTGACTAGACCTTCATGCCTGAGAAGGTGTCTCGTCTATGTTTTATTGACTTCCATAGAGTCCTCTGTTCTCTTACTCTTTCTAATACCTCTTCATTTCTAACCTTTTCTACCCACGGTATCCTCATCATTCGTCTGTAACACCACATTTCAAACGCTTCCAACCTTTTTCTTTTCCGCAACGCCCACCGTCCATGTTTCGAACCCGTACAGCGCCGCGCTCCAAACATACACCCTCATTTGAGTTCGCTTTGTTTTTCCTGGGATATCATAATGTGGAGGTTTCCCGTTGCCTTCCACATCGCAGTATTTTGCATCAGAATGCCATACCGATCCACATGATCCCTACCACCCTGAGTACTGAAAGAGCTGCTGCCCGAAACCGAAAATTTGTTGTATGTATTTCTATGCCTCGTTCATTTTCAAATTTCGAGAATTTTCAGATTTTGAGTGTGTTGGATCATCTAAGATAAATTCATGGATGTAAGGTCATACTTCTCAACGGGGTGACAACCCCTTAAAAATCTCAAATGACATTAAATGTGTGTATTTCGATTCTATTTACAAACATGGTATTGTTGTATGCTATACTTAACGTGAAAACGAATAAGTGGGAAATGTAGATATAATTAAATAAAAAAAGTTCTCAAACAAGTTTTAATTGAATAAATGTTCAAATTGAAAGCAATTCACTTCCATACAGTAATAAAATTTTTGTTCAACATTCTCTCAAATTTTCAAATTTCAAGATCATCGCAAGCAGTAAACTACGATACTTTGGATAAGTTTGCTTCAAAATTGCTCAAAAATATCAAATTAGCAACCACTACTTTCTAGATAATTCTAATAGTAAAATAAAAAAATGCCCAACAACACTAATAATGCGCTAACAATTAAAAATCATAATGGCCAAAGTTTATTTAATTGACATTTAACAGGGGGTTGCCATTTAAAATTCTTGAAGAGGTTAACGCCCTTACATGAATTTACAATCAAAGGATCCCCTTGAAGGCAAAATCGACCAGTTTTTAGGGATTTTCAAAAAAACATGCAGTAGAGAGCTTTCTAGATGGAAAAGCTTTTTAATCAAAATTTATTAATAAATCAGTTTTATAATATAAATCGAATAGTATTAGTATGTATTATTTTTTTTTGTTTAAAACTTAGGTCCTGTGGGAGGTCGGGTTAATATTAATATAAATTAGAGTGTGACAAATTAATTTTGTATATACTTCGCAAACTTTAAATGGCTTAGCGGATAAAAAGGACCACCGTAATAGTCATCAGTACAATTTACTAATTGATTAAACTCCTAATTATTCCAGTAATGCATTTGAGACAATAATTTTAATTTTCTTACATACGATTAATACAAAATATAAACTATTTGAGAGTTAAATAATGTTTCAATAATTAGCTACTATGTTTAAATTAATCGAATTATGATTATTTGCATAATATATTGATGTATTGGTTGTAAAACGTTAATTTATTTTTAGTTTTCAAAGGTAATCCAATAATTTATGGAATAATTTTTAGATAAACTACAAATTCGTAAAAAAGAAATAATCTGTTTTAGAATTAAAATAAATATAAAGGGCCAATTAAGCTGGAAACTATCTGAGAGTTAAATAATATTTCAATAATTAGCTACTATGTTTAAATGAATCGAATTATGATTATTTGCAGAATATATTGATGTATTGGTTGTAAAACGTTAATTTATATTTAATTTTCAAAGGTAATCCAATAATTTATGGAATAATTTTTAGA